AGTGGGTCTAAGTTACCGATGGTGTACTACAGTTTTCTCTCTTTGGCATTCACTTAGGGTACCAAGTGAATGGCAAAACCTTAAACACCTGAGACATGATGGGGAGGAAATATTTTTTGAAGGATCATTCTTTTGAATGACCAGTACCTTTTAGGTAGATGTTACTGGTCGGATCTTATATTCTACGTGCGGACAGCGGGAAAAATCATATTTCAAACAACCATGGAGGGTTCACTGTGTTGCACACGTGCTCTCCTACGTACGGATAGGAACCAACAAAGAGAGAGATTTTACGATAGGGATGCGTTTAGGTGCTTACCTCGTCGTTTTGGGGTTCGGCACACACCCAGGCAGTTTGCCCTCTTAGAATAATCATGAAGCCCTCCTACTATCTACCAGTGCGGTTTGGAAACTGACTCTCCTCAGGCTTTTTCAACTCATTGATTTGTTCTCTTGCGCTGGAAATTGCAATATGGACTCGGTCGTACTCCTCTGTAATGGCTCGCTCGAACGAGGGCTGGCTGACGAAAAGAAGGGATGAGGGAGAACAGTGATATGGATTCCCCTCTCAGTGCGAATGCTATACGCTCGGGTGATCAAAGCAATCGAAGAATAAAAATTCTCTTGACTTATCGGCTCAGGAAGACTCCTCCAGAGTGACTCAGAGAGAGCGCATGTGTCTCTCACAACTTAACTCGATTGTACGGAGATGAAGTTAGAGCTATGATCTAAGGGTTGGAATCCATAAGTTGACTCTGAAAGGTATTGGGTCGAGTGTATGTGGGATAGCAGGGTGTTATACGGTGCTGCAGGCTTGCTGCGTCTACGCTAGGGATGTGAGGGGGAAGAGACGAGGACGTGCGTTCTCCGCTGGCGTGAGTTACTGCGCGGGTCAAGTAACTAGCGAAGAGAGAGAAGAAAGAAAGAAGAGGGAGAGAGGAAATAGAGCCATGCAGCTAGCAAGGGCTGGGGGTAATTTCTCTCTCTGAAAATTTTTCTCTCTCTTTGGTGCTAGATCCAAGGGTTAGGAGCAAAACGACAAGTAGAAACAAGCTTAATACCTCTATTTCATTATTGAATGATCCAGCCCTTTTATAATTGACCTAGGCTTATATTTATGGAGGATCCATAAAATAGGGGTGGATGCTCAAAACCAAGACTAATTATAATTAAAAGAAATTACAATAAAATCTCGAATTTAGGAATAAAGACCAAAATGCCCCTTAAACCTTTTAGGCTAATGATGAAACCATCCATCTCTGAGGGGCCTATCACCATTACTAGATCTTGGAAGATTTTTCGGATAGTTGTGACGGTGTTTGAGATGATCGAACATTGCAGTCTTAATGCTTGTTTGATTTTGAAGAGTTTGATGTCTTCTGATCATCTTGAGGTGGACATTTTCCTGAGCGGTGGAAACCCGGCTAGACCATGAACCTTTTGGTCATCGCTGCAACACAATTTATGGTGTTTCGAGTTTTATTTTGATTGCAAATTAAAGAGGAGACTTCCACAATCGTTTTGCACCAATTTTTATCTGTTTTGGTCCTTGCTTGAAGTACCTTATGATTTCAGGAGATCATCAGAAAAATGGATTCCGGTGACGGGGTGATCTTATTTTCTTCTTCCTTGGAATTTACAATTTATCCGACCTTGGATTGAGTGTAACAGTTATACCAGTTTGTAGCCCTTTGTGATACGGTCTCATCAGACCTATCTTTTCGATGATCCGATGTACAGTTCTCGAGTTTATTGCTTCACCAAGTTCAAAATGTCTTTTCCTTAAAAAAAATTTGGTTTCCATGGTTTCGGGCTCATCTTCTCCCTAGAAAACTTTGATTATGTGTCACGTCATAATGAGTGCCATATGTCAAAATGACTGGGTTGTTGAGACCTATCTTTGTGTCTGAATTTGAGCTTACTTCGACTTCAATCGAGCGATGCGTGGGTGTTTGCACGTCATCCCGAGGGGTGAAGATCACCGCCTCCATGATTGGGGACTGGTTTTAGTGAGGCCCAAGTGCAATAGTTTACAACTTATCCTTTCAAGGTAATTTGGGTTCAAAATGTTCCAAGAAGGTCCGATTGAGCCCAAATTTGGTCTCTAAGGGTTTTTCGACATTCTGAATACAACGACGGTGGTTTGGTATTATTTTTATTCCTTTAGTATATGGCTGTATTTATAAGGTCTCTTTGTGGCATGATGGTACTTTTTCCAAGGTTGCCTAGTGTTAGGCTTGTTCTGTAGTATTCCATTGGTCTGGTGACGTCTTGGGCACCAACAAGACTAGGTTGTAATTGGCTCTCTTCTTATTTGCATCAAGGATGTAGGTACATAAAAAATGATGTACAATAGGTACGCGAGATGGATGCTTTTGATCTTCCAGACATCTGATTGTCACTAATATCTTTGAGTCAGTGCGATTAAGAGGTATCCAACAATCGGGATCGACAATGGCAGTCAACAGGAACCGTGCTCTCTTTGAGCTGGTGACACTCCTTGTTGTAGTTACTCTAATGCTACCTGGGAAACTCTCAGTATAATCTCCAATCGAATGAGATTTTGATTTAGGTTCATGCTACCATGGAGCTATCCTCTCTTTTCTCTTTTTTTTTCTTTTTTTTCCTTTCTTTTCCTGCTTTTTCTTGGGGTCTCGTTCTCTAATCGAATGAGATTTTAACAAAAATGCCCTTGGATGCAATGAGCAAAATACCCGTGAGTACAAACTCTACCTTTCCCCTTTGCTTGGGGTTAATCTTGAGTGATTGGTACTGCCCTTTATTTCTTGAGATTACCAAAATGCCCTTGGTGCAAAATTACCAAATACCTTTTATTTATTTATTTATTTTTTTGACTCGGTTACACGGATTGCTTTTATCCTTGCTTCTATTATGATGTTTTGAAAGAGGGCTGCTCCCCATCTTTTTCCTTGCTTTGGTTACTTCTTTTGCCGGGGTTAGCAGACCTTTCTTTTTTCCGGCAATAATTCGCCACAATTTGGCCGGAATCTCGCTGCAGCATTTCCAAATTCTCAATTTATGGTGTTTTTAGGGTTTACAAAATCGGTGATTTCAGTTAGGTGATGAAGTGAGTGAGATCGCCTCTTCATACTAGGGTTTCATTTAATTTTTATTATTCTACTTTCACTCTTTTTCTTCTTTTGCTGTTTCTCATGAATATAGGATTATTAGAGGAACGACGATCTGCACTCACTTCAGAGTTTTGGCTCTTTTCCTCCAAATTCTTCGCAGGAGCTTTACTATAGCTATATATTGAATCTGATTATTTCTAGTGTTCCCGTCGCCAATTTCAGTCGATGAGGAATTGTTTTCGGATCAATCTCTGCCATTACAAGAACAGGCGAATACTATTCTTACGTTTTCTTCTCATCAATCAATGGCAGAATTTTTATGGGAAACTCGCCATGTCTATGCAGTGATTCTTTGTGATTTCCTTCAACATAAACGAGTGTTATTGCCGTGAAAGTTTTCCGTTCTATCAGTAGAAAGACAGAGAAATCAGCTTCTTTCCTTTTTTTTGTTTTTTGGGCATATTGAAATTTAAAAATTTTTGATGACAAAGAATTGAGGGTACTCCGTTAAGAAATGAGGGTACTCCATTAAGAATTTTCATGTTTTTGAATGAATATGTGAATATTGATATGTTCTTTCCCTGCATGAACCGCCATTCAGCATTTAATTTACAGTATTTCG